ATTGTGCCAGTAATGAAATTGCCGTTACATAATTTTAAGAGTAAGAGAAATCTGACATAATAGTTGACTCCACTTTGCTTCCTTGGTCATTACTGGGCATAGGCCAAGCTAACTTTGGGAGGAATTAGTTTATAGTTTAACTGGAAAGGAAGAATGATAATAGTCCCTCCTTAAAATTAACCTCCTCAGCCTGGTGTGGTGGCTCATGCCAGCACTTTGAGAGGCAGATGGCTTTAACTCAGGAATTTGAGACTAGCCTGGGCAATGTGGTGAAACCCTGTCTCTATCAAAAATGCAAAACATTAGCTGGGTGTAGTGGCATACCCCTGTAGTTCTAGCTACTTGGAAAGCTAAGGTGGGAAGATGCTTGAGCTCAGGAAGATGGAGGTTGCATTGAGCTGAGATGGCACCACTGCACCCCAACCTGGTTGACAGAGTGAGACCCCATCTCATAAAAACAACCAAAAACCCCCAAACAAACAACAGTAAAAGAACCAAAACTAACTCCTTCTTTGCTCAGGGACTGAAAGTCACCTTTGTAAAGCCAATGAAAGGCCACAAAAATAGGTTTGTGGGAGTGGTGTGAACTCTGATAAAATGTAGGCATAGCTTCTATAGTCCCTTACTGTTTGAAAGTCATATGGCCAGGGGTCACAAGACTTGTGACTTTCCCAATTATGCTTATCAGTAACATCACTATTGTAGAATGTAAGATAATGTTTTTGAGATTTTTTTCAGACTGACTCCACGTGGACTTGTGACTTACGGCTCAACTGGTCCTGTGCTTCCAACCAGAGGCAGACTCAGTGCATGAGAATGGAGGACTGCATTCTATAACCCTATGATTTCATCTCTAACCAATCAGCAACACCCATTCCCCAGCCTCCTGCCCACGAAATTGTCTAGAAAAGCCTCTAATCTCTGAGCTTTTGCAGAGACTGATTTGCATGATAACTCCCATTCTCTTGCATGGGCCAGCTTTGTGCCGATTTCTTACTGCAATGCTGTGGTCTCAATGGATTGATTTTGTTTGTTCAATGAGCAGGAGTAATTTATTAAAAAGTACATAATTTTTCTTGTTCTTAAGTTACATATGATTCTTTTTCTTTTACTAGATAGTTATGATAATCTTAGTTTAAGCAATTTTTGATAAGGTGTAAGAACATATTTTTTTGTTTTTTCCAACATGGAGTCTTGCTCTGTTGACCAGGCTGGAGTCCAGAGGTGTGATCTTGGCTCACTGCAACCTCTGTCTCTTGGGTTCAAGCTACAGGTTACCATGCCCGGCTAATTTTTGTATTTTGAGATGGGGTTTCACTATGTTGCCCAGGTTGGTCTCAAACTCCTGACCTCAGATGATCTGCCGGCCTCGGCCTCCCAAAATTCTGGGATTATAGGTGTGAGCCACTGTGCCCAGCCAGAAATACATTTTGACAGCAATAGAAGAGCATACAGAATTTAAGAATCAAAGTTCTAGATTCCAACTTGTTATTGCTCACCTTTACCTCTAATAGACTCCCACTGGTTTCTCAGAGGCTGATGTTGCTCTACTTCAGTGCACTCCCCCTATGTTCTGTGATTGCTTTCAGTTGAATGTTATGCTTGAGTCCTACCATTTAATTTATTTTCTTTTCATCATCTATTCCAGATGTGTTCCTTTCCCCTACATTTCTACACTATATTATACAAAATGTTTAAGAAAAAATGTATCATTTCACTTGTTAAAGATGGTGAGGCAGACTTTATTCAAGGTAGGCCATGATGATAGGTATAGTGACTGCAATAGGGTCTTATAGTGAGAGAGAGAGAGAGTGAACTCCAGTTTGATTCCAGGAAGATAAAGTGAGGATTTGTTTTTCCTTTTACATGCTCACCATGAAAAGTATACAAGTGGAGATTTATAACTAAGGAGCATGCTGGAGATGAGTGGATGGGAAATTACTAGGAGGAAACATCAAGGATTTGGGGATTTTTGGCTGTACTGACTTAATAGTTTTATTCCTGAAGGCAAGGTGGTGAGATCAGATATTAACAGTAGTCAGAGACCAATATTGGGGTGGGGAATTTTTGGTAAACTGGTTGGCAGGATTTTTGATCTAACAGCTCTACAATGATGGAGAGGGACCCTGAAGGTTGGTTCTAGACAGAAAGAACTGGAGAGCCTCCCTAAAGTTTTAGTCAAAGGAGAGAGTCTTTGTCAATATCATTATTATATTAATATTTGAGGAAAGGGAAGAAGAGCCACTAGTATTCCTACATTTTTCTGTCCTTTTAGTCTGTTTTTATTCATATATGAAATTTCCTTTTGAAAATGTCTTGAACTTTTGACATTTCTTTCACTCTGGTTCTGTTGTCATTCTTCTGTGTTCCTCTTTCTTCATTTCATCATAATTTACCCACTCATGATCATAGTATTTCCTTTTAATTCCCATATAGTATTTACAGCACCCATCATTTTGGTGATACCGCACAAATGCTCTGAGTATGTGATTAGGGAATAGAGGGTGGAGGAAACGCTTCTAAGATTTCAAAGCCACATTTTGTAATCTGCCTGACTCTGCAACCCTTCAATCCACACAGTTGAGGACATTTCATTCCTATCTGTAAATTCAACTCAACCTCTCAGACCAATCACCCTTAAGTTGTCTGAATTTAAAGAACTTGGCAATAATGTCATATTAAGTGAGCTTAGATCCTTGTTCTCCGACTTTGTTTTACAGATGAAATATATAACTATTCTTGTTATCACATTACTTTGAAGAACTGGTTCCTCTTATTCTCCAATAACTGTTGATGAACTCTGTATGTATGCTGTTGTGTCTCAGTTCCCCTAAAATTGAGAGTGAGGAGTTTAGCTTGGTTATTCATGTCTTGTCCCTTCAACCCATTTGGCATCTGAGACCACACATCTTGTGGTAAGACCTTCATGACCTGACCCTGCCTTAGGGAGAAGCAACGTGATTAAATTGAGGTAAGTCATCAAAAGTAACAGAAATGTATTTGCCTTTTGGAGTAATCAATTACTCATGAGGATGGTTTTAGAATTGGTCTAATGTTAAGTAAACCAGACATTAACTCTTCACATCTAGGTCTTAGGTTGGAGAATATAATGAACCTCTATTCTTCACATGTGTTTCTGACTTCTGAGTACTGTTCTAGAAAATTAAAACAAAACAAAAAAATTCCAGGATAACTACTACTTGTTAAATTTATAGTCAACCACTTCATTTGTACCACGAACAGTGCTGGACAATACTTACTTTTTCTCAAGCAAATTTATCCTTCTGCTCTTCATTGTGGTGATTTCAAGACTAATTAGTTTCCCTCAAATATCTGACTTTAGCCACATTTCCTCTGCTTCTCATATCCTTTTCTTCAATGGATCCTTACAGAGAAAAGAGAAGCCCTCAGGTAGAAACTTCCTCAATATCCCAGCACCAAATTTGCTCACTGCTATGCAATACTACCTTTCTTTCTGCCTTTCCTCTCATTTTAATGGAAAAGGTCTTCCTCCTACTCTCTGAGGTTACTTCCCCTATCTCTGCACTGGACCTGACAATTATATTCCCTTTTTTTCAGTTTCCAATCTTTCCTGCTTTACTTAGTTTTTCTCACTCATTGAATTCAAGTGCATAATATTAAAACAAAAAAACAAGATACCAGACAAATGATTCTCTCTGGGTCTCATGTCTCTTTTTAGCTACTGACCTCTCTTTTGCTTATAAAGCCCAAATGCTTGAACAAGTTACCGATTATCTTTGTCTTTGCTTCTCAACCTTTCTTAAAGTCCCACCATCTTGGCCAAGCACGGTGGCTCACACCTGGAATCCCAGCACTTTGAGAGATTGAGGCGAGTGGATCACCTGAGGTCAGGAGTTTGAGACCAGCCTGACCAAGATGGTAAAACTCCATTTCTACTAAAAATACAAAAATTAGCTGGGCATGATGTCAGGCGCCCATAACCCCAGCTACTTGGGAGGCTATGGCAGGAGAATCGCTTGAACCCAGGAGGTGGAGGTTGCAGTGAGCCAAGATGGTGCCACTGCACTCCAGCCTGGGCAACAAGAGTGAGAATCTGTCTTTAAATAAATGAATAAATAAAGTCCCACCCTCTGCTTCTTTCTCAATTACTGTACTCCCGTAAAACTGCTTTCATGAAGATCACAAATGACATTCATGCTCTTAGATAAGCCCCTGAGTTACATACATGATCCCTGGAAAGATTTTTTCACCTTTGATCACTCCTCCCTTCTAAAAAACATCCTGTGTCATTGATTCCTAAGCAAATGCACTATTCTGATCTTCCTCTTAATTCTCAGCCTGCTTCAGTATTTTTTGTTGACTTCTCCTTTTCTATCCATCCACTGAAAGGCTATTTTTCATCAGGGCTGTGGTTTTGGCCTTCTTCAATTTCATATTCTACCCCATTGTCCCCAAGTAATCTTTTTTTTCACACTAATTGTGTAATTTTCTAAGGCAATCTATTAGTTTTATTTATATAAGATTATTGCATGATAGTAAAATTTTCATACAACAATTAAGAGTGAAGCTGTTGGGGCTAGGTGGTTCACACCTGCAATCACAGCACTTTGGGGGGCTGAGGCAGGTAGATTGCTGAGCCCAGGAGTTTGAGACCAGTCTGGGCAACATGGTGAAACCCTGTCACTACAAAAAAAAAATAAAATAGCAGGGCATTCTGGTGTGTACCTGTGGTCCCAGCTATTTGGGAGCCTGAGGTGGGAGAATTGCTTGAGTCTGGGAGGTCAAGGCTGCAGTGATCTGTGATCATGCCACTGTGTTCCAGCCTGGGCAACAGAGCAAGACCCCATCTCCAAAAAACAAACAAACAAAAAAAAAACAAAGAACAAAACCAGTGAAGCTTATAGTTTGAATTACTTGGATAACATGGAACACTTTTTATAAGAAACTATGTAAACTAAGTAATATTTATTTCCTCTCACAGCTTCTGTATTATCTATTGGGGGTGTATGTGGGTGTGGGTGGAGTACACCATCCCTGGAGGTACTGCAGTACAGGATGTATGGAATGGTTGGAGCAAGCTCCTATTACATCTCCTTGCTCAAAAATACATTTAATATATTGTCCTTGAATAGAGGACATATCAGATTTTAAGCTGTTAAGAACAGATACCAGCTTGATCTTAGCCAAAGGCCATGAAGAGATTATTTATATTGTAAAACCTCTCAAATAAAACTTTGCAGTTCAAATCTCTCTCCTGATCTCCAGTTGTATAAACCTAATAGAAAGATTTATACAACCAGTTTGATGGCTCACAAGGAATCTCAACTTCAACTTGTCCAAACCTGTATTTATTAAATTCTCTTCTGAATCCCCACAAAATTATCTGCTCCTTAACCTATGTTTTTTTCTATTTAATATCTGACTTGCTTAAGTCAGCAAAATAGAATGTCTTTCTTCACTACTTCTATTTATCTCTAGCCTCCATTATGTTAACTTGAGGGTGTGTATGTGTGTGTGTGTGTTTGTGGGGCTGGGAGTCAAAACCTCAGGTTGTGTCCCTTCACTCAGTTTGGTAGCTGAAACAAAACGTCTTCAGACAAGTTCCCTGTGACCTGATACTCCCTTCAGACAGGAGCAACCTGATTAAATTGAGATGAGTCTTTAAAAACAACAAAACATTTCTTACCCTTTTAGAACTACTCAGTTATTCAAGAGAGTGAGTTTAGAATTGATTGTGTTGAAATAAGCCAGATATTACCTCTTTGCATTTAAGTTAGAGTTTGAAGAAAGTAATAGACCTGCATGCTTCACATTTCTTCCTAAGCCTTTGAGCACTGCTACAGAAATTTAAAACAATTCTTAAATCTCTTAAGACCATGGAAGAGGCAGTGCCACTGCCTTAGTTGCTGCCACTTCCTCAATCCTCTGATGCTTTTGATGTCTCTCTACCTTTTCACTTTTCACTTCAATTTGTAAGTTCCAGCTTAGGTGTCTGTTTTATTCTGCTAGTTTGTGATGTTCTTTGGTTAGGAGCTGTAATTATCCATCTTTGTATTTCCAGTTAGTAACTTGTTTCAGTGCCCAGCTCACAAGGGAGTAAATAACTGAACAATTGAATGACTCCCCCATTATTCAGCCACCCTGAACTCCACCTCCTCCCTGCCATTTGGAAGACTGCCTGTGCATCTCATCTCCAGGTCCCAAGTATGTTTAGTCTAAATTATCTGGATGCTTGCTGGAAGTAGGATTGCCTATTCTACTATCTACACAGTTTCTACTATCTCTCAGCTCAGTTTTGCTAACATGTTCATTTTGGACTTTCAGACTCTCATACTGGGTGCCCATGACCTGTGGTACTGTGTATGTGATAACACAGGACACATATCTTCTTGTAATATCGGTTTGGGCCACTTTTTAGTTGTTTGAGACATAATATTTATATTAAAACAGAAACATATGCAGCTAAAGCAAAATTTGGGGTAATTTAAAAAATAAAGTATAAGATTTCAAGACATGAAACTTCAAAAATATTTTATGGTGGGACGGGACAGTCTCTGCTAAATCTGTATATCCCTGGGGATATACCTTTCTCTCTTCTGTTTTGGGATACTGAACTTCAGATGTTAAGTCTGAAAGCACTGTAGGTAGGTAGGTGGGGTGTGTGTGTGTGTGTGTGTGTGTGTGTGTGTGTGTGTGTTGTTTTCCATGAAGATTCTATAGAAAGGATTTTTGAGTTTTGGCCTAAAAAATAACATTAAGGAAATTATGAAATCTCTTCAGAGTTTAACACACCACAAATAGCACTAAATGGCTTTCTGGTCTCAAGATATAACCATTTTATATCTTGGAATATAAAAGGAAGAAGAAATATCTTGAGTCATCCTTCTTAGCAGCCATCATGAAGCCAAATGCCTCACTGCCTTACTTATTAGTTGCTTGTAATGAGAATATGGGAGTAATCTGTCCCACCTGAAGCTAGAAATCTCTCTTGGTATGTCAAGATTTAAAACAATAGGATTTAAATGTTATCATATTAATATATAAGTAAAACCAACAAAGCATCACAAAATTAGCATTAGTAATTCCGTTTAAGGAATGTCCGTGAGGATTTAAAAATTCTTTTAGAGAAATTACAAGGAGCACTTCTGTGTTTTTCTGTCATGGGTAACCACAACAGAGATTGCATGTGTTCCATAACTTTTACCAAAAGAAGCAGATGGAGACCCGAATTTTGAGGGTTTTGTTTTTAATGAGTCCCTACTCCGCACATGATTTAGATTTACACATATTAAAAATAATTACTTTTCTTTCATATAAAATTAACTAAGCGTGAATTTAGCTGCCTTTTCAATTTTGGCACAGAGGTACTTTAGGTTTACTCAGTTTTTTTTAAGTAGGAAATCTCTGAGGATTCAGGAGAATCCAAAGAATACCGACTAGCTGAAAACTGAAAAATTTCTGCTTTGACGTGGTCCTTGGTTTTTGGTATCCTTTAAACAAGGAGGCCATGCACTATCTCCAGTCTTTCTTAAATAAGCTGTGATACTATTGTAATAAACAAAGGTCTAAATGGAGGCTTTCCAAATGCAGATCAGATTAACAAGTGATATCTCTTGTGTTTAGATTTGTCCAGTAAAGTTTACATTGGATGTGTGTGTGTGTGTGTGTGTGTGTGTGTGTGTATGTGAGTGTGTATGTATGTTTAATATATATTTGTTTGTTTTCATTATTATTATTATGTTTTAAATAGAGACAAGGTCTCACTCTGTTGTCCAGGCTTGAACTTCTGAGTCCAAGTGATCCTTCTACCTCAGCCTCCTAAAGTATTAAGATTACAGGTGTGAGCCACCATTCCTGACCTACTTATTTATTTAGAGACAGGATCTTGCTCTATGGCCCAGATTCCACCTCACGGCAGCCTCCACCACCTGGGCTCAAGCCATCCTCCCATCTCAGCTTCTCAAGTAGCTAGGTCTACAGACACACACCATCACACCCAGGCAATTTTTAAATTATTATTATTATTATTTGTAGATTGGGGGTTTCATTATATTGCCCAGGCTGGTCTTAAACTCCTGGGCTCAAGAAATCCTACTGCCATAGCTCCCAAAGTGCTGGGATTACAGAAGTGAGCCACCATACTTGGTCATTATATATTTATATAAATTTATCTGATGAAAACATATCGACATAAGACAGTTCAGGCAAAGCTTTGTAGTTTCTGGTAGTTTTTCTTTCTAAGTATGTTATTTATAGAGCGGAAAAGGTAGGAGATAAAATATGAAACAAATATGGTTCTTAGATCCTAGATATCTTCACTGAAACAGAGCAAACGTGTTAGGAAAAATGTTTTTGCTCATTGTTGGGTAACACGAGTTAGTGATTTACTCGAAACAAGTCTTGTGTTCTTATTTTGTTGTGTCTAGACAGCCAAATTCTTTACTGTAATTCAAAGAATGTACAGCCAGTGTTGATGACATAGTAAAAGGGGAAAACAAATGTAATAAATTTCCAAATTATCCTTTTTAAACTCACTGAAAAAGAGGCTAAGAATAATTTTTATTAAATGTACATGCACTTCTTTGGAAATATGTCAAGACTATTTAAAAACACACACAAGGCCAGGTGTGGTGGCTCGTGCCTATAATCCCAGCACTTTGGAAGGCCAAGGTGAGAGGGTCACTTGAGGCCAGGGGTTTGAGACCAGCCTGGGTAACATAGCAGGACCTAGTCTCTAGGAAAAGTTTAAAAAATTAGCCAGGCATGGTGGTGTACACATGTAGTCCTAGTTACTTGGGAGGCTGAGGTGAAAGGATTGTTTGAACCTCTAGGAGCTGAGGTTACAGTGAGCTATGATAGCGCCACTATACTCCAGCCTGGGTGACAGAACAAGACCCTCTCTCAAATGTAAGTAAATAAATAACGTACCCAAAAAAAAGGATTATGGGCTGCAATCTGAAAGCATTGGTAGAGTTTATTTGTACATAATTTAAAAACAAATGTGCACACAGAAAATAATTTTATGAATAAATAATGACATTAAAACAGTAATACTTCAACACTGGCAATAGGTTCAGATGGTTCCTTTGAGTTTTGTGGATTAAACCAAAGATTCTTGGTAAGAAACATCAGTAAATTATAAAGAGCAGATGAAAATAGAAAACCATTAGCTCAGCAGGAGCTGTGTATTTGGAAAAGAAGAGAGCAAATCTGAAGTTGCATGCGTACTACAGATGATATTAAAAATCTAGTTTATTTAAGAAGAAAACTGAATATTGGAAAAAAATGTTATTTGAAACATTTTAATGGTTTACCTGTGGACATTTTTCTGCAGTGATACAGTAGATGTATTATCTGTCATTTACGTCAAAGACAATAATGCAATAAGAATGACCTGTGATGATAATGACTTGCTCTGAAAAAGCAGACTTTATGTTGACAAATATAAAGTTCTTTCTTAGAAGTCAGTCTTTTTGCAGACTTATCTAGACAAGGTTTCTTGTAACTCCCTCCCCACCCTTTCCTGTAGGCCATTGCTCTTAGAGGGAGTCCTTAATGGAAGTTCATCCTTCCTTAACCTTATACTTTAGCTATGGAGAGAAAAGATAAGGACATTTTCCCCCCCTTTTGTATGTTCATAAGCGTCCGAGACAACAGTGAAGAACTGGGCTGAGGTCAGTGATGAAGAAGGCAAAAACAGCTACTAAAATAATGGTAGCCTTAGTAAGCAGCAATCTTTCCTGAATCTCAGAGTATCTCCCATAAGTTACTATGTTTCATTGATCCTCATAGTAAACCTTTAAGTAGTGTTGAATATTATTTATATTAAATGATTCATTAAATTTTTCTCTTTGTTTACTTGTTGAGTTCCAAAGGCCAAGAATTTCTGCTCCTACTGAAAATGTCTGCCCTATTCCCTAAAGGGAATAGCTTGGGGACTGATAGAGATAGACACCAATCTAGAGACATTTACAAGATTAATGATTATAATTTTATAGTTCTTGTTTGTTTGTTCTGAGACTGAGTCTCGCTCTGTCACCCAGGCTGGAGTGCAGTGGCACCCTCCCGGCTCACTGCAACATCTGCCTCCTGGTTTCAAATGATTCTTGTGCCTCAGCCTCCCGAGTAACTGGCATTACAGGCAAGCACCACCACACCCAGATAATTTTTATGGTTTTAGTAGAGATGGGGTTTCACCATGT